CGAGGCAAGTCCACCTCGGGACAAACCCACTTCGGGGCATGATCGCATCTAGACCACCTCGGTCCCAAGGCACTTATTCATACCAGGTCGGATCCAAAGGGCACTATCTCGGGTAATATTGACCGACCACTTGGCAATTCTGAAGATCTCGCCACTAGATTCCACGCCTTACGGGATCACGCCTCGTAACAGCTAGCATTATCTCCCCCGTCCAATTCGGGCGGAAGTGATGAATCTTACCGATTGGCAGCGTTATCCCCAATTAACGCGGAAATGGACCTCATCGTAACGAGGATCCCGGATCTGCTCCGTGAAACCCGCGAAGGCTCCACTATATAAAGGCTCCACCCCCCGGGGGTGAAAGGTACGCGTAATCTCTGCTCTGTAGCCCTCTTGCATTCTAAGCAATTATCAGCTCGCAACCAAGTACTAACTTAAGCATCGGAACGACCTCGCCAGGTAAGCAACCCCGGGTTTTATGATTCGCTTTTTGCAGATCGATTGAATCCATTGTCTACTGGAAGCCAGATCACCTGGGAGCAGCCGGATTGCGCTACATCTCGTTCTTTGAACCGAAGCCTTTGTTCAGCTCTCCTACAATCATTAGTTCAGCTCGGAGCTATTGAATCTGCTCGAAGTTCCATTTGAAACATAGGTATGCTTTGTTCTTTGTTTTTCTTTTTCGTTTTTGTGTCTGTTAAATGCATTATTATAAAGAATTTTTAATGTCTGCTATTCGTTTCTACATAGAGACCCATATGTAGTTCTGTTAAAACAGATCAGAAAGCGAAGCATCATTTTTACATTTACTGTTTGAGCGAACACTATGGACATAAGTCGGGTAAAGAAGACGACTTATTGATTCGGGTACGGGTCGGGTTTAAAAAGTCCTACCCGGTCCATTTAACTAACATGACGTGGCGGCTTAAGTTAAATGGGCCGGGTTCTAAGTGGGTTTAATTGTAAACCGCCCATATCCGACTCAATAATAAATAGATATTTACTATTTAACACTATTTATTATTTTAATTAATTAATTACCATCTATTAAATAACAATATTTTATTTGCAGTATTTCAATATTATTAATTATGGCATTTATTAAATAGTAGTATTAATTAATTACTAGTATTTATTATTTAATTGTATTTAATTAACAATATTTAATTAATTAGTAGTATTAATTAATTAACAATATATTTACTAAAAATTATTATAGTTAAATGTTGTTATTAGCAGTACTTAATTAACAATACTTTAATTAATTACAATATTTATTATTGAGTGATATTTGTTATTTAATAGTATAAAAAATTAGTATATATTCACTAAAAGTTATCATAAAATTAGTAGAAATGTCCAAAAATAGGCTTAAATAAGATCTAAAGGGGTAGTGATTTTGGTCAATCTACAACTTTGAAATGTAATCTTGGTGTGAGGAAGGGGAAAATGTGGGAATTTTTTATTGAAATTTGGTAGGGTGGTGCTTTTGAGCATTTTGTGTTGATTGGTAGAGTTATATTGACCTAACTGTGTCCAGATCAGGTAGATCTATAAAGAGCTTGATCCAGTCAATCAAGAGTTTTAAAATGGAATTTTGGTATGATGGAGGGGCAAACAATGGTATTTTATGCTAATTTTTTGTGGGTAGGCTTTTTAGTATGTATATGATCTATTGGTTTTGGAGGGCCAAAATCACAGAAATTTGGGTCAATAAGAGGTTTCAAAATGAAATCTTTATTCGATAAAGGGGCAAATGGAGGAATTTTGGGTTGAAACTTTATAGGTAGATGTTTTGTGTGTCTAGGGTTCAATCATATGGTCTGATTGGTCCAGAGGTGTTAGGATTGAGGAGATMTGGGTTGTGGGTGCTTCAGACTAATGTGAATGTTCAAAAGGGAATCTTTGTTTAATGAAAGGATAAACGGTGGAATCAGGGGTAGGTATTTTAGGAGGTCCTGGGTTTGATGGTCGTGTTTGGGGTTTTTAGACACTTCAGACGGATTGAAACAGTTTGATCGGGTATTCAAGGTAAACTGGGGGTTTCGTCGATGAATCAAGAAAAAATCAAGTGCTGACAATAGGATATCTAGAGGTATTGCTCTCTTGGATCATTTGATGGGGTTTGATTAGTCTATAAATGAGATGGCCTTAGATTGAAATCTTAATCTGATAAAGGGTTAAATGGGGGATAGATGTGATGAAATTTTGTGGTGAGGTATTTATTAGGGATGAGCATAAAAAACCGAAAAACCGAATCGACCAAAAAAACCAACCGAAACTGAACCTTCAGTTTCGGTTAATCGTTAAAAAACCAATAGTTAACCAAACTGACCGATATATACAATATATATTTATATAAATAATATAATATATATATTATATTATATTTTTTAATTTTTTTGAAAATCAAATAAAAGATTTCAATTTATTCGGCGCCTAGTCGCCTACCAATTTATTAGTTGCAGACTTTCAGCCTTAATGTTAAAATTTCAATTTTTTTTGAAATTTGAACCTTTTCAATTAAAAGTTCGGCAGTCTGCCTTTGCCAATGTGCCAGACTATCAATTTTCTTTTGTTTTTTCCCCATACTACCAATTCTTTTGTCTCATTTAATTTTTCTCTTTTTCCCTCTCACTCTCTCAATTTTCTCACTTTCTCTTCTCTCCGTTTTCTCTTCTTCATCAACTCAGTTCTTACTCCACAATCTAGACGGCCGTGCGGCCCATGCCAACCACCAGCACGACAGCACCAAGCGGCAACGCCGATCGTGGCCTCGCTGGAAAACAAGCACCAACAATCCAACCAGTCCGGCAAGCAAGCACCAACGCCGTCTCTCTCACTCTTTAAGTTCTCTCTTCTCTCTTTCTCACCTCTCCTCTCAGTGTCTCCGCCAGGCGCCAGCCGTGCCACCTCTTAGGCTCTCATTCAGGTGACATTCGATGGCAACCACCGGCACCAACCAGTTCGGCACYAACAATAACCAATGGCACCAACAACCACTGATAGTTTTAGTTTTTTTTTTTAATGTGTATAAAAAACCAAAAAACCAAACCACAGTTAACCGGTCTATTGATTAACCGATTGCATCGATTCAATTTCAGTTTGGATATTTAAAAAACCGATCAAATCAATTCAATTTAAAAAAATACCCCACAGTTCGATTAACTAAACCGTAAACACCCGTAGTATTTATAGATATCATATCACTCTTTAAAAACCCATTAAAATTCGGTTAAAAACTCCCATGCTTTGCATGGGTCGCTACTAATTAAAGACTAAAGTGACTATTAAATTAAACAGAACAGCAACTTACAAACTTAAATATTTAATACTAGTTTGATATATGAATTTTGACAGTTTAACATGACTTAAGGAATGAAAGCTACATATCCCCAAAAGGCTACACGCGTTCCCTGCATTTTTGTATTTTCTTTTGGCTCAGAACAGTGAAAAAGGAACAAGAAAGAGGTCAGGAGCTGAGTTGAAGGAACCTCAAAGCCATGGGATGCTTGGCTTCGGAGAGGTGGTCAGGTTTTAGGACCTCAACGATCTCACCATTCACAAGAAGGCATACCACATCAGCTATCCTCTGGATCTGTTTGACACTGTGGGAAACCATCACCGTCGTCATGCTGCGAGCTTTCTTCAACTTAACAATCGCATCCTCTATGTTTTGTGTCGATATCGGGTCTAGAGCACTTGTTGGCTCATCCAATAGCAACACCTTGTAAAACAAAATTAGCAGGTGTCATGACTCTTTACACCACAATAGAGAGAGAAATGGTATTGGCACTGAGTTGAGATTTTGAGATGCACATCTCCGCTCCACAATGCCTCACAGCACATCCCCACTCTGTATCAGAGTGGGAACATCTCCTGATGATGTACCAGAAGCGATGATGTCTTCATCGGGAGATGCTCTCAATACAAGGCGAATATGTGCTGTGGGGCAGAGATGTGAACTCTGAGATTTTCTGCCAATAAAATATGTTTCAACCCTCTACCAACTTGATCTAACACCATACATCTATGAAACGTGCGGTGTAAGATCTTGTTGGTAGAGGGTTGGAATGTGTTTTATTGGCAGGTGATCCTGCAGATTCATTCATACTATAGAGTGTGGGCATTTCAAGTAGAAATGTTGCCTAGACAGTGCCATGTAGGCGAGTTCAGATCTGCGCCCCACAATGTCCCACAGTACATCCCTGCCATGTATTGGGAACATCTCCCAATGATGACATCATCATTTCTGATAAATCATCGGGAGATGTTCCCAATACATAGTGGAGATGTGATGAGAGACGTTGTGAGACACAGATGTGAACTCCATGTAGACATTTTTTTTACTTCCATTTAACACTGGATGAAACGACACACATCTCCTACGAAATAGGATTCAAAGATAAACAGTAGTACTCATTTTCAAGGTGAAACAGTTTCTAAAGTCAAAATGCTTGATTTGAAACAACAATTGTACCGAATAGCACCATAGGCCATTGTAGAACCGCTTAAGGCCGTTTCTGCATTGAAGGTGCCWACTGGCTCAGTTGGTAGGCATATAATCCGAATCGAATGTATGAATAATGCATTTGAGTTTGAGTCCGATCGGAATTTTGGGATTTCGGATTTCATCGAACTCCAATAGACTTACTCTAGGCCCAATATAAAGCTCTCTTGTTCAAAAGCCCAATTATATAATACCAAATACACAAGCTTGTTATAAAACAAGACTTAAAATTCAATGAAAATGAAAAAAAGGCTTATATATGTACAGCGGGTTGGATGGGGGTATTTGGGCATTGGGACTTGCTCCCCAAGATGGAAAAAGAAAGAGAGTCAGAAAAGCAATCGTTACCACTGATTTGAGGCAGTAGTATTAATGATAGTTTCCATATCTCTTCCCACAAGAACTCTACCCACAAAACACCACAACCGTGAATAGGAAATAAGAGGTGGAAACAGTAACATATGATGATGGGAGATTCCTCAAACTGGGAGAAGACAAAGTAAGCATCATCAGATATGACTTGACATATGAAATGGCATATTGGCTTGAAATGCCTAATCAGCATATTCCTCTATCAAACACCTAATCAGCATCATTTCTTTTCACTTTGCTACTTATTTGTTTTTGTTTTGGTGACTGTGCTACGTATACGTACTTCCATTCAGTGCAGTGTAATTAATCAGCATATCCCATATACCCATATGTGTGAGACAATTAGGGCACCTGTCACATACTCAATCCAAGTGCACAACTGCAGTGCAGTGCAAAATAGTGCAGAAGATCCAGAAGTCATTTACATGACTTTTGAAATACCTAATTAGCATCACCCCCTAATCAGCAGTGAATTCGGACCTGCTCCTCATACAGATCTCACAATATCACATCTCACTGTATACTGACAATATTTTTCATGACTAAAAACTACTTGATGTACAACCGATACATGCTGGGGTGAGTGTGAGGAGCATTCTGTGAGGAGGAAATATATTAGCAATAGGGATATTCATCAGTTTTTGAATTCTAAACTGATACTACCGGTTGACTAGTTTCAATTCTTCGGCTTTCGGTTTTTATATTTATAATATATATATTATAAATATACGTAATATTTTATATATACATAAAGCATATATATTTGTATATAATATATAAATAATATATTTTAATATAAACAATACATACATATATATATATATATTTCAAAAAATGACCCAGAACTGGAACCATTCTGGCCACTGGTTTCCAGATCGATGGTTTAACCATTTGATCGAACAAAAAATTTAAAAAATAATTAAAATAAAATAGCCAAAAATCATTGAACAGGTCGAACGGCTCAACGGTTCAACCGTCCGGGTCAATGAATCGTTGACTGATTCAACGATTTTTGTGCAAAGACTAAGTTTGGAGTAAAACAAAACCAGTTGCCTAAACGGTTCCCAGGCCAAACAGTCCGACGTCAAATCATTGAGTCGGATCGAATTAAAGAACTTCAAGTACATTGAGCTTGGGTTAGGGTTCGGGCCCATTCAAAATTTAGCAAATGCTCAATCCAACCTAGCCCAAGTATARCAAATAAAGAAAATTTAGCAAATGCACCCCTAATATCAGTAAGACCATAAATTCAAGAAAAGATGAAATCAGTTTAGTGAATATACCTTTGGGTCATTGGCAAGGGTCCTTGCAAGTGCCACTCGCTGAGCTTGGCCCACTGATAACTCGCCACCAGCTTTTGTGGCAAAGGAGGAATCAAGATCGGCAAGGTTGAGCAGCTTGGATACCTCTGTGTCACTGAGCTTCTTACCTCTCAACTGTGGCCCGTACCGAATGTTGTCCGCAACCGTGCCTGAAGCCACACAATGACACAATGCTTAATTTGTTTATCATATGTTGAAACATAGAACATGTAATTCAAGCAATTGTTCCGTCCCTTTGGCAAGAGATAAACTTCTATACGAAAAGATATCTTTGGCTATTTGATAATAATTTAAGTGGCTGAATTAAATTGTTCATGTTTTGGTAAGTTATTTATTTGGGTAAGTGTTTTTTAGTAAAGATTTGTCTGGATAATTGTATATTTGCATTTATTCATATTCTTTTATTTCTCGTATAAATAAGATAATGATCATTTTAGTCATAAAAATCTTTTATTAAAAGGGGTATTTTTGTTCCATTCAAGTATTGACAGCTTTCCCTCCAGGTGAGAAAGTTATTTATCCACCTAGGAGATACTTAGGAAAATAAACTTTCCTTGATCCCCACATAAATCTGAATAAAAAACATGGGTTTCTTGGTTAATGAGAATCAAAATACCATTGACCAACTTTCCCCTCACTCAAAATCCAAAAATAGAATGTCCCCTTAGTGTTTTAGTGAATAAAGTCTTCTTTGGACAAGATATTTTGCTTTTAAGATTTGGGCTGTGCAAAATGAGATTGGTTAAAAAAAGTGTTTTAATCATTTGGTAAAAATTGCTTTTAAAAATCCAACAATCTAGAGATAAAACACTTTTACACCCCAAAGCACTAGTTTAAAATCAGGGCTTTGTGCTTTTGGGCTTTAAAAGCACAAATCCTGAAGTTTGTCCAAACACAACCCAAGTTATGAAGTCATTCAATCCACCTACATTGGATTAAAAGACAGTGTTGCGGGGTGATTTAGAGCCTGTTTGGGAGGATTTATCTTTGCTTCAGATGCTTTGAAAAGGGTCAGAAACTACTAGAAGAGGCTGTGTAAGTAGCTGTACAATGATCAAAATCTGGCTTTTGAAGTGGATACCACCTCTTAAAGCCAAAAAGCAAAAAGCCAGAGGACGAAAGCACTCCCAAAGAGGCACTAAAAATCAAGGCAACCCCAAATTCACCAGATTTCCAATCCTCTGTAACAGACTAACAGGTACAGGAGAAATTTCACACGTACAGAGTAGGATGGTGCTTAGTTAAGTAATGAATGATGAAGGGTGCAGTTGTAATTCGAAAAAGCTGTGTCTAGAGCTATGGGGCCCATTACATGCTCTAGGGCCCATATGTTGGCATGAGATCCACAATAGGGACAAAAATAAGTTTACTGTATTCACCTCTATATTATTACATGGTAGAAAAAAAAAATATTTTTTCTTTTAACTCTTAAGAAGCTCAAATATATTGCAAGAACCAGACATCCAGACTCATTCAAATTTCAGAACTTTGTCCATTTTAGACCCAAAATCTGAAATGTCAATTTTCAAAAAAGATTTTAGAAATTTGAATGACTTTTAATAATTATTCTCTCTTATAATTTTAATACTTTCTTATTTTTATTATCTATTTTTATTTGTTTTATAAATATGTCAATATATTGGACTAAKGCCCAATTTGCATTTTAATAAGTTATTTATCCGGGTAAATGCACTTATCCAGGTAATTGTTTCCTACGAAAGATTTACCCGAATAAGTTCATTTATCCATGTTCATTTATTTCCCATGTAAATAAGGCAATGACCATTTATCCATAAAAATTTATTATTACAAGGGGTATTTTTGTCCTTTTCAAATTTTGGAAACTTTCCCCCAAAGTGGGAAAGTTATTTATCCACCTAGGAGATGGGTATCACTTATTCAGATAAATTCAACACAGGAAAATAAAATTTTTTCATCTCCACATAAATCTGAAAAAAAAAAATGAAGTTTCCCCCTTTCAAAATCCAGAAAAAGAACCCCTCTTAAATGTATAATCAAATCTCAAAAATTTTGAGTTTTAATTTAAGACCTAGATTCTCTGAATATGCAATATGTGAAGTGTGATATAGGCCACAAACAAAGACTACGGTCAGAGGCGGAGCCAGCACATGGAAAAAAAAAAGAAGTATGGGCCCTAGGCCAATACCCTCCCATCCCAATTGTTACTTGTCAGATATCCCTGTCAGTCATTTGGCTTCCTATTTGCAGAATTAGTCACGTGGCACGTGCATTGTGCAGAGATAGTGATGGGTTTAACAGACGAGGAGTAGGTGAAATTGGAAAGATATGGGTATAATTGAAAAGATAGATAGAAAGAGAGAGGGAGAGAAAAAGAGGTTTAAAGTATCCATGCGATATGGTTTAGTATCGGGGATATAGTGTCGTATCTTTTGAGTTCTAAAATACCCATTTATATTTTTGGGAACCCTTTTTTTAATAAAATAATATATATAAAAACATTTTAAAAAACTAAAAAAAAAATATAAAAGTGCATGGTTTTCGATGCACTGAAGTATATTGATACTTTGAACCTTGGCCCTAGGCCAATACCCTCCCATTCAATTATTACCTGTCAAAGAGAGAGAAGGGTTTTAACTGCAGAGGATTGGCACTCAAGCACTGTAGACAATGGACAATGGACTTCTGTATGTGCATATGGGCTGGTTAGATTTGGTTTAAGATCTGCCAATTTGCTCATATATATATAATGGAACCACTATTCTCTCAGGGTGGTAGGTAGTAAATAGCTCAATCATCCAGACCAAGTGGGTCAATTTGTCATATCATAAATCATAAAGATTTTCTTTATTTGTAATGCAACTTTATTTATACTAATATAATTGCATGGGAGTGTAAACGAAAAGAATGCAAATAATGGTTTAATTAATTTTTTTTTTTTGGTCCTTTAGGTCTTATTTTACTTCATTTATACTGAAATCAAATAAAATAAGGAAAATTTTGAAACAAAAATAAATCAGAGTTTGTACCAAATCATTTGCACTGCAACCAAATACAGCCATGGTGAAAAATATAAAAATAAATAAAATACTAAAAAAGTAGAGAACTTTTATGAAGAAGGTAGGCATGTTTTTAATATTACATATTAAATAAAAAATTAGATAAATGAGATAATTTTGTTATTAATGTTAGAAATGGCTATTAGGAAGGATGTAAACACTTAGAGTGCTGAAATGCACTCGGAACCCTGACCACCCTGACCAGGTCAGTAACGGGTTGCAAACATTGCTTGGGCTGCATTTGGCATTCCTTATTTTAAGGATTTATTTCTTTTTTTTGCTATTAAAATAATTTTATGAATATTAATTTTTTAACTTTAAAAAAGAAATAAATCATTAATATAGGTTACATTTGGCATTCCTTATTTTAAGGACTTATCTTCTTTTTACAGTCCCTATGAAATCATAGATTGTGTTTTTAACTGCAAAAAGGAGATAATTCTTAAAATAAGGAATGCCAAATGCAACCTTAGTCACAACGACCAAATGGATGAATGGCGTTTAGATTATAAAATCCCATATTATTTTTCTTTGAGATGATGAATTCAATGAAATGGTCTTTTTCTCAGCGTTCTGAAATTTAGAATNAAATCATTAATATAGGTTACATTTGGCATTCCTTATTTTAAGGACTTATCTTCTTTTACAGTCCCTATGAAATCATAGATTGTGTTTTTAACTGCAAAAAGGAGGTAATTCTTAAAATAAGGAATGCCAAATGCAACCTTAGTCACAACGACCAAATGGATGAATGGTGTTTAGATTATAAAATCCCATATTATTTTTCTTTGAGATGATGAATTCAATGAAATGGTCTTTTTCTCAGCGTTCTGAAATTTAGAATGTTTTTAATTTCTGAGCCCGTTTTCAAAAAAAAAAAAAAAAGCCCACTTCACCTATATTATGGGCTTTTCTCTACAGTAGTGTTCGTGTTTTGTTTGGTTATGGACAAGTCACAACAGAATCAACGTGTGATGTGCTTTCTGTCTCTATGACCAAGAAAAATTCTCAATCAGACAACACAGTTAATTGATGTAAGCACAGTATGATGGTTATATGGTGTGTGTTACAACACAATAGTATCTTTGCTCAATGATGGCTATAAGTTAATTGATGTAAGCACGGTATGATGGTAACTAGTGAAAGTACTATGAAAATCCAAATCTCATGAAAAGCAAAACTTTTGAGAGTATGGCATTTAGCCGTACAAGGGAAATGTCTCCCATGTATGTTAAATTCAAAGGAAGAGATGTTTCTAATGTGCAGCTGGAAATTCTAATGTGCATTTAGAGTGTGTAGAGTTTTTGTTTTTTAGGAAATTCTACCACAATAATTAAATAAATAAATACACATGAAAAGATCAATTTCTTTTGCATTGTCTAGTCCAAAGGATTGTTATTTTTAAAAGAAAAGGAAAAAATATACACATACCAYCCTTTTTTTCAAAAAAAGGAACCAAACACCACCTAAGTTATAATTGGCTTGATCATAGGAACGACAATTTCTAACCTATTCGGTGGGTACCTACCTCGATGAGGCGGGCTTTTTTCTTTTATTGAATGACAGGTTTTGGGGCAGGGGTGTACAGGTTTTGGGATTCTACAAACCATAAAGGTACGGGTAGGGCATGGTCTTAGGCTAAATCTGATCCTCCCCAACACATATTGTTGGAAAGCATATAAACTTTATATATTAGTTGTTGAATTTGATAATATTTTGAATTTTATGTGTAGAAGAATTGATAGTTTGTATTTATTATGTCCTAATCAAATAATTTGAAGGTTTTTTTTTGTGTTATTTTACTTATTCATTGCTTATATATAACAAGAAGTACTAGGAAATTAGATGAGGATTCTAAACCCAACATACCCCCTACCCTTGAATGCAGGGAGGATAGGGTTAGGGAGGGTTTTGTATTTTCATGTGCGGAGAGGATTTAGATTCTCATAATCCAATCCACTACGGGTTATGAGGTGGATATGGATTGAGAGGTTTAAGGAGGCAAGTAGTATCTAATCCATTGTAACTAGTTATTCATCTCTTTGTCTTTATCCATCTAACTAGTTTAAAGTAAAAAAAATACATTGGAAGTGTTTAGTTGCATACCAAAG